CAGTACGTTTTCGGTACAGCAGAATTTTTTTTCACAAAACAAAACATATATATATATATTTTTATTATTATTAAACTGTGAATAATGTATTTACTCAAATAAATACAATATGTAATAAAATAAACATTAGGGTGCAGCATTTCGNAAGTCTAGTATATCATAATGTAAAATAATAACATTAAAGGTAGGGTAGGTAAGAATGGAGAAACCAGCTCGAGTGCGCTAATTTGAAAGTAGGCAGCCGAAAAAAATCTGCCCCTTCCTTCAGACTTCCTCGGCTGCCTACTTTCAAATTAGCGCACTCGAGCTGGTTTCTCCATTCTTACCTACCCTACCTTTAATGTTATTATTTTACATTATGATATACTAGACTTTCTTTAAAAAAATATGTTTATGATGATTATAGTGTAATCTAGTTTCACAAATGATTTGGGGAAAGGGCAAACGGCCTCAAGAAATCTCTGAATGTACTTTAAAACCAGGATTCAGAGGCAAACATTCCCAGATTTAAATATACTAGTTTAGGCCTATATCTTAGTCCTGCATTGAACCATCAATATATTTTAATTCAATAATGAATTTAAATCTAAAGTTATTAAATATTTAAATTGCATAACTTAAAATGTATTATTGAATTATTATTTAATAATTGTAATTCTCTTTATTTAACTGTAACACACTCACACAGTGCTGCTGTTCTCTAGAAAATGTTTGAGTGTGTGTGTGTGTGTGTGTGTGTGTGTGTGTGTGTGTGTGTGTGTGTGTGTGTGTGTGTGTGTGTGTGTGTGTGTGTACAAACTGTATATGTGTATGCAGCAAAATGCCATGATATTTGGTTCCTTGACCAAAACGTTGAAATATGACGACTCACAGGAGATTTGATTCATAAGCTCTCTACTTGCCTGCTTCTACTAATTTAGTTTTCTGGTACCTTGTCTGTATCGATGTTTGTATTAATAATGAATTGAATCAGTAGAACGAGTAGAGTTTCAAGAATATTTTCCATATTGCGACTTTGATGACAGTATGTTTAATTGTGCATCCCTAATATTACATCCAGCGGTGTGAAATGAAGACGCTGTTCACAGGTAACCACTGGTCTGAAATGTGGATGTGGAATGGTGATCGGCAGAGAGCTGGCAGTGAAGACGTGATCTTTAGTGAAAGGTCAGACTCTGGACGGTGTGACGGAGATGCTGTGAATGCACCGCGGACACTTTGTGTGCTTCACGTAGAGAGGAGGAGGAGGAGGAGGTGGGGAATCAACTTTTGGAAGCTTCATTTACAATAAGCTGTGAGGTTAAGTAGCGTTTTGAGCAAACGCCGGGTCTGTGAGGCTGAATATCAATGGGAGGCTTAAGGGCCGAAGCAGACACTTAATCAGGGCTCAGAACCCGAGGAGAGGAGGAAGAGTTGAGAGAAGGAGAGGGACGGGGGAATTAATATGTAGCGCACACATTAATTATGCAATCACACCCTTAATCTGCGCAGATCTGGACGAGCTTATGTTAACAGAAGCTCAAATTTACTGTAATGACAGCATATTTACATTGACTAAAACTACGAAATCAATATGTAAATGTAATGTTTGTTGTAGCTAACTGAGGAAGATTGGAAATGTGTGGAGTGGGAAGGAAGGATGCATATGTAATAAGGGCTGAGCAGAAGGGTGAGAGAGATGTTTGTGCATGTGAGAGAGGAGGAGATGGAAAGGGGTAGGGACACATAAATAAGGATCTAGCTAATATCATGATTATGTTTGGACACAGTCCCGAGCCACTGCTGGCAGGCGGGTAGACTCCTAAATAGACAGAGATAGAGGGTAAACTGAGTGGAAGTGTTACTCTGTCCTTCCAAGCAAAGAAGGAACATCTTATCAGTGGTTTTATGGCACGGAGACGAGCCATTTGGTGCGCGCGTGGGTGGAGTTCTGCTCAAGATTTACTCTGAGAAATTAGATTGTGCTCTCCATGGAACAAATAAAGCTGCTCGAAATATTAATTACATTGGGAGAAGGAGAGAATGTCCCGTGTGTCTGAAGAGGCCTGCTGCTTCATATATCAACAACACAACTAAATATGTTTAAGTGTAGTTTTGTCTAGACTGCTTTCACCACTGATGTTTTTTTAAAGAGGACATATTATGCTAATTTTTAGATACATATTAGTATTGTGTGTCTCTACTGTGACATGTCTCCATGCTTTAATGTTCAAAAAGCTCTTAATGTTCTCATACTGCCTGTGCTGCAGCACCTCTTTTCACCCTCTGTCTGAAACCAGGGCCCAGTCTGCTCTGTTGTGATTGGTCATCCTTAGAGATGTCCCGCCCCCTTAGCCTATCACGTACAATGTGTTGGAGCGCTACCCAATAGAAGCGCGAGTGTTACATTGTGATGTCACTATCTTCCTTTAGTAAACAAAGGAGTCCAATGGCCTCTGTTGTGATTGTGATTAGAGGCCTTTGCAGACCGTTAACATGCACTGAAACCCATATAACACAACAGGAAAGGGAGAACTGA